AACCCAGTCAAGCGCAGACGTCCCGAAGCTAAGGGGTATGTGATTGCAAAAAGGGCAAGTAGTGTACAAGGAGATGGTTCTTGACCCTCAGCATGCGTCTGATTTGTCAAATGCAGCAAGCTTGCTACGTCTCGCATCACGCCCCATCATCTTCGTCTTCGTCTTCGTCTTCGTCTTCGTCCTCGTCTTCGTCTTCGTCTTCGATATCGACATCGCTGTCGTCATCCACTTCAAGCTCGCTTCCGGCTTCAGAAGTCGCATCACCAGATTCTTCCTCATCATCTGTCGCCTCCTGCATACCATCGTCCGACCCTTCCATGGCCTCGTCTTCCGGAACCGACGCTTCATCAGAAGTGCAATCCGGTTCATCCTCTTTCTGAATCAAAGGCGGACAAAACTCAACATTGTACCACCTGGCCCACTCCGCCTGCTCTTGTTTCTGCATAGCATGCCTGTCCTTCAAGTCCAACTCTTCCCAGGCTGCAACCTCGATCGCGTTGCGTCGTTGAAGCGCCATTTCTCTTGCTAATTTGCGCACTCCTCGCCCTGAGCCCTCATCAGCCCCGGGCGCTATAGCACCAGATCGATGACGCTGAAGCGCTCGTACCGCTTCCTCCTCGCTCTCATCTTCGTACAAAGAACTGTACTCCGACACATTGTCTGCCTCATCTTCCCCATTCCGACCCTGAGCGTGACCCTCTGCTTCCGGTTCGACCGCATCGGCAAGCCTCGGTTGCCTGAATACGTCTTGAGCTGACAAGACACTTGCGGCCAGTGTGGTAGATCCGGTCGTGCTGCCTTGCAGGTCGATGCCGTTCATCAGCGCTTCAGTGTGCGGCGCGACGCAGTGTGGAACAGCACTGAACCAATCCACGGCTGGATCAGCTTCAAAATTGTCGCGCGCAGCGTCGGCCAGCCTGGAGGCTGTGTGTTTCACCAGCTCTTCTCGACCAGGAATCTGGGTAGACATGGCTGGCTGCAGAGCCAACAACGCGTCATGGACGTGCTCGGGACGAATAAGGTCATCGTCCCCTACGTGTGTGGAGGCAACGCGATGCACGACGCGCTGGACAAAGGCGTGGATGTGCGAGGTCAGATGCGGCAAGAGCAGTGTACTCATACGAGCACCCGTCGCCTCATCAGCAGTGCTGTTGGCCAACGTCTTTGGTTTCGTGTGCTCTTGCCGGCTTGAGTTTCAAGAATGTACGGAATCCCATGCCGTCAGTTTCAGAACAGTAAATGAGCATCGCAGCACGACTCACGACCACAGCAGCGCCAGACCATCAGCGCGCAGCAATGTCGACTCGTTGACTTGCTGCAGCGCAGCTTCATCCTCGTCGAAGCCTAGCATCCAACCTCGAAGCACGTCGTCTCGTGAGACACCAATGTGCTCCCATCTCTGCGGAATGCTCGGAAGAGTAGGAGCCGGTTCGCAGACCGCATTCCGAGGAACTGCAGGTTGGGTCCTTCCTTGTCCCTCAGTCGGAGCAGACGGAAGGAGAGTACCTCCAAAAGGCACGTACGCTTCGTCTTCGGTCGGAGTCATGCCCGAAGCGCTTTGCGGATCAGGTGATGCCTGATCTGTCGCACTGGGAGAAGGTTGAACGCGCAGTAAGAGGTCCGCACCTAGCAGTGCCGGAACACCGGTCTTGACGCGATTGCGGATTCGGTCTTTCACCCTCTTGCGTTCATTCTGGTCCATGTGGGACAAGTCAGCCCCATGAAAGATGTAGCGACCCTCCGAGTTGACGTATTCACCCCTGACGTGGCTCAGAGTTTTGTCAACCTTTGTCCTGGCGTCTCTCATCGCTTTGAGCTTCTTTAGCCTTTGATTCTTCTGCACCGTCGCCCGCACCTGCTCTTGGAGCTCGGGTGGAAGTAGAGGAATGAGATCTTCGCCGAGATCGTTTTCATAACTTCTATGGGGCATGTGAAGCAGGCCGAGCTTCTGCGCAACCGCCGGACCGTACAGCTCTTCGCGCTTCTTGATACGTTTCCGCATAAGTTTCCTCTGTTGGCGAGGCAGGTGACCAATATCGATGCCGCACACGAGGTCAGGTTTGTGGGGCCTTTGAGGAAGCTCAGGCACTAGGGCCCTACTCTTGCGTGGACGTCCTCTCTTCTCTCGCTGAGGCCGAATGCCGCTTTCATCATCTTCCGCATCGCGTATCGCAGAGAGTGTCTTTGCCGAAGGAAGACCTTGCAAGTGCGCGAGTTCCTCGACTGTCAGATCCGAAAGGATCCGCATCCGAGCTTGATCGCGGGTCCTTTGCATCGTCTCATTGCCTCGTTTGGCGCGCTC